GGATCCCAGAGCCCCTCTCAGGCTTGGCCACCCCGGGAATTTGCTGTGGATTCCCTCTGGAAAGGCAGCAGGAAATGGGCCCCTGCAGCCCCGCTCCGGAGCACCGCGAACTCGTTCCAGCCGCCGAGGGAGAGCTTTCCTTTCATCTCGGGCCAGGAGTTGAGCCGGGCCTTTCGTCTCTTCCCCAGACACGGCTTTGAAGGCCCCGGGGGTGTCCCAGATGTGCTGCGGGGCTGCCAGGGGGTAGGGGCGGTTCTGGGATGGGGAAAGCTCTGGGACAGGGGGTCCTTCCCTGCTCCTGCCAGGAACCCCCCCCCGGATGGTCTGAGGGGCTGGGGACATCCAGGCCTTGGGGACATCCATGGTGGTGGCTCTGGGTGTGGCTTGCAGCTCCAGGGGCTTTTCTGAGCCCCCTTTGGGCTCCAGTTTGGCCCAGCAGAGAGGCAGGAACTGGAGGCAGCTCTGAGGGATCTCAGAGTGCTCCACAGAAATAATTCAGTGTTCCCTGGGATGTGGTTCCATCCATGGATCCATCCATGGATCCATCCATGAATCAATCCATCCATGAATCCATGGATCCATCCATCCATCCATGAATCCATGGATCCATCCATCCATCCATTCATCCATGGATCCATCCATCATCCATCCATCCATGGATCAATACACCCATGAATCTATGGATCCATCCATCCCTCCGTGGATCCATCCATCCATGGATCAATCCATCCATGAATCCATGGATCCATCCATCCATCCCTCCATGGATCCATCCATCATCCATCCATCCATGGATCAATCCATCCATGAATCTATGGATCCATCCATCCATCCATCCATGGATCCATCCATCCATGAATCCATGGATCCATGGATCCATCCATGGATCCTTCCCTCCTCTCCACATCCCCATCCCACTCACGGGCTCTGCTGCTCTTGGATAACATCCCAAGGAAAACTGGGATTTACTGCAGCTTCTCCAGGGTGTCTCCCTCTTCCCCTGGATGGAACCCAGCTCTGGTTGCCCCTGTGATAAAAAAAACCCAGATTTTCATCCCATTTTTGTTCCCTCCCAGTTCCCAACCCCAAATTCCAGTCAGGTTTGCCGTGAGCAGGAACATGAGGGATGAGATTGTGTGGGAGCAGCATCCGGGATCTGCTCCATGGGAAAGATCTGGGAAGGGACCCCTGGGGCAAATTCACCCCCTGCCCTCCCAACACCGCCTTTCCCGGATTTTTCCAGAGGGTTTTTCCCTCCGGGATGGAACAGAACCCCCCACAAATGTTTGTCTGGTTGCTAAGGGCACTCCTGGACTCCTCTTTCCCACAAATTCTTGAGCGGGTGCTGATTTCCACAAATTCCTGAGCTGCTGCTCCACAGGAGGATCCCGTGGCTCTGCGTGAGGCAGGCCGAGGTCAGGATGGATTTTTTGGGGTTTTTTCTGGATCTGCCCCAGCTCCCTGCACACAAACCACACAGATTTCCCCAAATCCAATTCCTATTAAAGCTAACCAGGTTCAGTGCACCGGGGGAGGAAAAAATATCAAATTTTCTGGCTCTGTTAGGATTTTTATTGGGATTTTTATTGGGATTGGGAATCCTGTGCAGGAGAGTGGGGGGATAAAGGGCATGGATGCTCCTCTGGATGCCTGGAATTGGAGTCAGAGCTGCCAGAGGTGCCCAGGAGTTGGATGCTGGAGGATCCTGGCCTGGCTTTGGATGTTCCTGGGGGTTTTGATTCGCTGCCAAGGTGCAGGACAGCAGCTCCCGCTCCCTCCTTCCCGTTCCTTTGCTGGCCTGCAGAGTCCCCTTGCTCCCATTTCCTGGGAATCCTTGTTTGTCCCCTCCTGTCCCCGTCCCCAGCCCATGGGGACCCTCCTGGGGTGACAAAGCAGGAGGAGAGACCTGGAAATGGGAGAAGCTCGTGGGGACCTTTCTCCTCATCAGGATTCTGAGGGATCCACACCAGATCCGGGCCGGATCCGGGGTCGTTGCCGACCCAAGGGCAGCTCTGGGGGCAAGGAAGGGCTCGGAGGGGCTGATCCCAACATTCCCAACATTCCCAACATTCCCAGCTCCGTGCTGGGAGAGCTCAGGACAGTTCCTGGCCGCTTTGATGGCCAGATGGGAGCAGATGGCGGAGAAAAGGGGGGAAGAAACTTTCACGTGTCGGAATTAAGTGGAACAGGATGGGCCCAGCCCGGGGATCGGGGGCAGCTCCTGTGGCTCATCC